ATTTCGCACATCCTCCAGGTTGATGTGTTTTCCAATCTCACGTTTTTCAGACAAGTAAAAACCTCATCAAACAGGAAACGTTCCACGAAGGTGACGCCGGCGGGCCGCAGGTAACGGCGCAGTTTATTTAGAGACCAAAGACTAAATAAACTCCCCGTATATCGGACTAACACCCCTAATATCTCCTATAATGTCTCCATTCCCCCATTGTGCCCCCGACACTCCCCTAACCCCGTAATCCCATGGATTCCAGAGGTGAAATCCATCAATCCGGCACCACATTCCGGGGAACGCCGCCCCAAACCATATTGGAAGACATTGTACAGACTTTCCTACCCAACCCCCGAGAGATCCGTTGTCTGGAATGTTCCGACCTCTGGATGTAATACGATGATCTCTGGATATTATAGGATGCAGGCCAGGCGAGGACTCCTCAGACCTCCCTCACAGGCCAGGCGAGGACTCCTCATACCTCCCTCACAGGCCAGGCAAGGACTCCTCAGACCTCCATCACAGTCCAGGCAAGGACTCCTCAGACCTCCCTCACAGGCCAGGCGAGGACTCCTCAGACCTCCCTCACAGGCCAGGCGAGGACTCCTCAGACCTCCCTCACAGTCCAGGCGAGGACTCCTCATACCTCCCTCAGGTCAGGCGAGGACTCCTCATACCTCCCTCACAGTCCAGGTTAAGACCCTTCAGACCTCCCTCACAGGCCAGGCGAGGACTCCTCAGACCTCCCTCACAGGCCAGGCGAGGACTCCTCAGACCTCCCTCACAGACCAGATTAGGACTCCTCAGACCTCCCTCAAAGGCCAGGTTAGGACTCCTCAGACCTCCCTCACAGCCCAGATCAGGACTCCTCAGACCTTCCTCGCAGGCCAGGCGAGGACTCCTCAGACCTCCCTCACAGGCCAGGCGAGGACTCCTCAGACCTCCCTCACAGACCAGGCGAGGACTCCTCAGACCTCCCTCACAGTCCAGGTTAGGACTCCTCATACCTCCCTCACAGGCCAGGCGAGGACTCCTCATACCTCCCTCACAGGCCAGGCGAGGACTCCTCAGACCTCCCTCACAGGCCAGGCGAGGACTCCTCAGACCTCCCTCACAG